TTCCTTTCATTCTGTTATTAGTAATTAAGACTAGAAAGTCAAGCTGATCCGTGATCAGGTCATCACACATACAAGGACATTACACTGACTGCAATTTCTCCTTAATTCATCCTTAGGAAGCAGACTCGTATGCCAAGCTTGAGTGCAATTCTCCATCATATTACACTGTTTGTCTTAAAAATACAAAGACGGTGCTGTGACCCGAAGAAAGCCCTTCCCCTGAGGGCACATCAATCTGCATGAATGGGTTTCTCTCCAACACACCTCCGCTGCCAAAAATTCTCTGAGCGTACTTACACTCGACACTTTTGCGGCCCTCCATGAAAATGCAAAAGACCAGTGAATTACTTCTGCTGAGACTTCTGCCTGAAAGCAAACGATGAGCAGCATGTCCTGCTCTGCTTGGATCTTCCCCTCACAATCTGTAGTCTTGTACTGTCCCTCAGCACTAGCAATGGGAAAACAGCTCCTAAAATTACATGGAACGGAGGCAACCTCTAACAACTGTAAACACATTATTACAAAGTTTTGTTGTCCAATATGACAGTCTTATACCCTCTTATGGTATCTCAGCAAAGTCTCATTCTTCTCTACAGATGACCAGACCTTATTATGGGTCCTACAAAAACCGTTGGTTTCCATGCATCAGTGACTCACCACTTCAACCCCTCCTGCATATCCTCTTCCTTCTGCACAGCGCGATCAGAATCAGAACTATGACAGTCAAAATCCCCACAGCAATTATCAGCCAAAGCAATGACGATCCCCCTTCTGTGAAAACAAAACAACAAAAAATACACCAAACTAAGCTAGTTTATATAGGAAAAAGAGCAAAAAGAGCCAAGAGGATGTCTGATTAACGACAATGGTTCCTCACTGAGATTGTGAAAGTTATTGCTAAGCTACATGAAAGCAGCAATTGCTCAAAAGAGAGAGTAAATGTGTGTATCTTCAAAGGCAAACCTACTTGCCCACAGAAAATACTTTGTGAAGAAAAGGTGCTCATGTTCATCCCTAGCAAAGAAAACTGTCATTGCCATACCTGATACGGTAATTGGCATACGTACATAAGCAGAACTTTATACAAGTCTTGATGCTTTCTGAAGAGTTTTTTGTTCATTCAGAACTTGAGTTTTTTGTTTGCAAAATAAAAGTTATTCCTTTTACTGTTAAGCACTTATCACTGTCACAAAGGCTAAGTTAACTTTCAGAAAAGAAGACAGGCTATGTTTTGATGCCTGCAAGTAGCTCTACCCAACATCTGAGCATAAATGTCCCTCCCTGATTAGACATTAGCCACTTCATTTGACTGCCATTAATCAAAATGATAATACAAAGGCTCATCGCAATACTCACTGACGTTAGCTGGAAAACTTTCTGAATTAAAATTTATTTGAATCAAGCAAAAACTGTCATGTCTTTTAACAAAGCTAGGTTGAACTATTAATTTGAATTCTTTCCCTAAAATATAATATTGTTAAAACAACAAGCTGTTAGCTGGTTTTTCATGCTCCTAGCAAGAAATAACAACAGTCTTAGTTTCCTGCTTTCTGAGATACACGTTTCCTTTTAAAAAAAGGCAAAAAAAAAAAAAAAAAAGAATATTGCATTTGAGACAGGACAAAAAGATTTACTAAGCTTTTCAATTAGTTTCACTCAGAATTAAGAACAAATTTGCTTTTGAACTTTTAGAGAGAAGATATTAAAAGTCAGATCTTACTCTTTACTACTATTCCTATAACCATCACTTCTTGAGCACATAATTTGGGAATTAATCCACAATCCCAAGATGCTTTTCCTGTCTTCCTAATTTCCAAGTGGTCTTCCTTTTAAGGCTCTGGATTTGGAAACACATGAATTTTAAGTCACCTAAGTCAATGTACCTATGTGAACAGAGAATGGTACTTCAGCTTTTAATGTTTCTATTTCTCATCTATAGAAGTGGGGTGAAAGCCTTTCCAGCAGAACAGAATGTTGGAAGAAGAAATAAATTAGCACTACAAGGTATTCAGATATTACATTCCCGTATTTAAGATTTCCCCATAAACCCAATGTAAGTATCTTCCACTGATCACCTTCCTGTCTGCCTGAAAATACTATTCCTCCCTGACCATTACTGCAATGCACGTGTGTCTTAGCAAAAATGTCAGAGAAACTGAAACATAATACACAGGTTAACTGTACCAAAACAGGTAGTAAGTTTAACTGAAATGTTTGGCTAATTGTTGTTCGGAGATAGTTCGTTATTAATTCAAAACTTCCACTTCAGTGTTCATTAAGCGAACCATGGAGTTTTTACTTCATCTAGATAGATATCACGTGACAAATATTTATATCTATCTTTGGACCGTCAAAGAAACTATGAAGGCCTGTGTGAAAACTGAAGTTTGACTTGCTGCAAAACGCATGGTATCTCTAAAACCCGTAGCTCCCTAGCTTACTACTTTGGCTTTTTTTCCCCTCTTGGAGAGGACTCCAATATATTATTCTCTCAAAGACGGCAATGAACACAAAGCAAGATTTCCTGTCTTCTTACTTGGCACATACATATTTCACTCCCTCCTCTTCCCAGCAGATTGCTATCCAAACATGCTATTGCAAAACACAGAGGCCAAGAGAACGCTACCAAGTAGCTTGTATCATTCACCTACCTCCTTTCATTTTCACAGGCAATTCCATTTTTTCATTCATGTTGCTTACTCTGCAGGTCAAGTCCTGTGCACCGATGCTCTGAGTGCTGTTGATCTCCAGTTTACTGGTGATGGACACCATCCCATTGGTGTGCCTGACCATCTCCTGTGTAGGAGTAGAATTGAACAAGTTGTTCCAGGTGATGGTGGGCTCTGGGAGGCCAACAGCATTACAGATGGCTATCAAATGACCTTCGGAAATGTTGTAATGGACAGATGCATTGAGACCTTCCAACACACAAAGGAGACAATCCGTCACCACAATGAGCACCTGGTCATAAGCAGTAATAGCAGTTTAACCATTATCAATCAGAGCAAAGCTTACTGGATTCACACTGAGCCCCACGGCACAGGAATGCAAGAAGAGTTCATTGGGTAAGGTCCCCCCCATGATTCAATACTCCTTCCCTTATACTGAAGTTAGGTCCCCCAAAGGTTTCACTCAATCTGAAATGCCAGGGTTTAAAATAATCCATCAAAGTAAAACCATTTCTTGGTCCGTGCTGTTCTCCTATCTGTTAATTCCCTATCAATGGTAGGGTTCGGCACAGCAGCTCACAGCACTGGGGTTGTACCTGGCACCAAGAGAAAACTGCAACAGACAATGCTGGTTTGCCCAAGCTCCAGCTGGGACTCCTTGGGGGCTTACAAATGAAGATGCCACTCCTTGCTTTTTAGCTGCTACTTACAGAATAACAAACAAGGACAGCCCAGAGCCAAAACCACCACAACAGGCTTGAACATGACCCTAGGGAGTCTTGCTCACAGCAGTAATGCTCTGTTTCTACACCATGTTCCACCAAGGGATGCTCCTACCACTGCAGTTCCTGAGTCCACTCAAGGAAATGCTGTGGGTGAGAAAACACCTCTTTTTCCACTAGAGACATATCCCTGCAGAGAACCTCACCAAAGACACTCAGGCAGGTACGTCCTGAGAAGGAGCCAAAAGGGAAAACATTGAAGAGACACGTGTAACAGCCTGAATCATCCATTCTAGTGTCCCAAAAAGTGATGCTTGTCTCATTGAGTACCAGACTCGTGAAATTCATTCGGTCTTGATAGGGCTCATGAATCTTTAATCCTTTTATGGTACTGTACGTAGCTATATTATTGCGTGATTTTTCAGAGTCCTTTTGCCATGTCACTTGCAGAACATCCTGGGGTTCTGTCAGGGCACAGACGAGAGTCACGCTGTCGCCCACCTTCACGTTTCTGTGTTCAGCCTGTGGAACCACTGCAATGACATGAAATAGTTAGTGAAACGGGCAGATATCACACATATTCAGAAGCCTAATGCTGATTCTAAGGCCTGGATTACCCACAGACACAACAATTCCATCAATTACATATTGTTTCTATGGTTTTCCCCGACCCAAAAAGTCTTTCTTCTGCATCCTCCTAGAAATCAATGAAGTTATATTGATTTACATTGGCTGAGGTTCTGCCTTTCTTCTAAACTGTTTAAAGGAAAAAGACATAACCTATTTCTGTACCCACCCCTGCGGACTTCCCCCTTCTGTTTTATTAAATCAGCTCACGGCTTCCTATTCTCAGCAAAAACTCAGATTTTGTTTCCTAAAAGCTAGAGGAAGATTGAATGCGCAAGGGAAGTGCACACCAAGCCATTCTCAGAGAACTGAGCAACAAAATGGGCTAAAGAGAACTTCTGAACTATGTAGCTTCAGAGTTTGCAGTGCACTTGAAAGGGAGGGAAAGAAAAAAGAAAGGTTTGTTCCTGGAGCGGGGGATCCGCTATGGGAAGTTGTGAACTCAGGCGAGCAATGGTGTCCAGTGTCATCGTAGATATGGGATGCTGCACGTCCCTCCCATTTCCAAGTGCTGCTCCAGGAGGTCGTGTCTCACATCTGCCAGCTCAATGTCTCTGCCTCAGCTATCTAACGTATGTCAAATGGTACCAGCAATCTGTATTTCACCTGTTTTTGCCTCTTACTCTGGCTGTTGAAGTCTCAGGAATGAGAAACCTGTTCCCCAACCATTTTCAGGCAGATTTCAGGAAATTCAACTTACCATTTGCCTTCCCAAGCCCAGCACAAGCCAGACACAAAACCAGAGCTCGGAAAGTCATTTTGGAAGGGAAAATCTGATCACCTGAAGAAAGAGGAGATGCATGAGTCAATAACAGATCAACTTCGGTGCTGTCACGCCTCTGGGGTGCAAACATTAACGGTAGCTTTGTCATGTGAGAAACAACATAGTTCTGGGGGCAGACAGCGACTTTTGACAGGTCTCATTACAGAAAGTGCTCTGCTCAAGTGGGAAAAAAATTGCATAATGGAAGTTAGAAAAGCATTAGTCCACCAGAAGTGTGACGTATGGGTTGTCCAGGACTAGCTGGGGCACTGGGAGAGCGGTAGGGTCAGCCTGTGAGATCAAAAGATAAATTGAAAGCAACTTCTCTGAGGACTTCATGACTCCCCATCTGTCCAAAATTGCATGAAATGGGGAACTTTTGGGGCACGCTGCACCTGCTACATACAAATATATTTCCAAGGCGGGAAAGCAAAAATAAGGTTGTGTTGCCGCTTTCCCTAGTGAACAGCTTTTGACCCGCTTCCTGCTCCCTCCGTCGGTTAATACTCCCACAGCACAACTGAACTGTAGACGTGCCTGGAACAGAAGCTGGTGTCATATTCAAATGGAAACATTTTTTTGCATAAAATACCCCTGTAACACCACCTACACCTGAGGGGTTTTTTTTGCCAATGCCTGCAAAACTAGCTGATGCTTCTTGAGAGTGTCCTCTGTCAAGAACACAAGCAAAGCCCAACTTTTAAAGATTTTCACAACATGCAAAAAACCAGAAGAGAGAATCAACGGTAAAGCATTTTCTATGTTATTGCATGGCTTAAGAAAGAAGGACTGATAAACTAACAAATGAATTAGAGGGAGGAAAAAAAAAAAATCCGTTTAAGAAACAAATTCCCAGCAAACTTGCACACAGAATACACACGCACACAACCAGTAGCCTGCCTTTAAATTTTAAACACACTGTGCTAAAACAACTCCTGATACAGCTCTGCAGTTACCAAGCGTGAATACAGACCAAGTTCCTATGCGTAAAACAAAGAAACAAGAAACCACCAGCAGCAAGCCCAACGAATAATGCACTTGCCAGATAATACAGCGTAGTCAGATACTCGAGGATGGCGCTAAGAAGCTCAAATAGATACTCCTAAAAACACGCAACAATTAAGGGCCAGCATAGCAAGCCAGAGAGAAATTTCGAGTTATAAAAGCATTTATAAACCAGTGAAAGATGTTCCACACCTGCAGGAAAGCGCAGTTTTCAATAACCACCTTCTATCTCGCTGGTTTAATACCCATTTAACACGCGTTAAACTCGTTTAATAGCCGTTAGAGTCCTTAACACACCATTACTCACACCCGGTGTAGCTACAAGATTGCATCCAGTGAGGAACCAGGCTACTGTGTAGCTATACTGGTCTCAAAAAAAGTCCCTTTAGGTCAGAAGCCCAATCTAGCGTATTACAGGGGAAAATAAAGAAAAAAAACAAAAAACACAACTTCTAAGACTAGGGCAACTAAAGAGCAAATCCTTCACTGCGCCGTACCTTCCCAAACCACACCTCGGAGGCCTCCTGAGCCACCGGCTGTCTCCGTGGGCTGGATTCACCCGTCCTCCACGACCTTCTGTAAAACTTTTCCAACTTTTAAAGACCTTTTCTACTTCTGGCGACCAGCTCCAATAAACTGCTCGCCGCTGCTTGTCCCTGCTGCCTTCTGGCGTCACGCGGGCTCCACGAAGCAAGTGCTGGCGTGAAGCCGGCACGGCGGGGATCCCCGAGGGCAGACTGGAAACCCTTGGATAACAGCCTCGCCAAGTACCTCTGTGAGCCTTTGGTGCATTCCCCAGGGCAGTACAGCTTTCAAGAAGACTGGGGGAATGTTGGGGTGAGAGGGTCTTTGTCTTACTCACCGAGACTGCTGGTTCTCCACTGCAGTCCTGCCAAGACAGACAAAGGTGTGTTAACCCTGTCTGGTGACGGGAAGAAGGGGATAGAAAGTTACTCTCTGTGGAAGGAAGGTGCCCGCTCTCCCTTTTCCCTACGCAGACCATGTCATGGTTCAGGTGTTAGAGGTGAACACCTTTGCTGAAACCAGTTCTGGGGTTCTTAAAAACCCCCTGTGATTTCAAAGAGATTATCCTAGTGGGGTCCCATCACGCAGGATTCCAGTCTTAGATCAGGGCCCCAGGATTTGTCCAATGTGAGTGTACTGCAGAGAGAAAGAGAGCCCTCACCCAGCCAGGGGAGAAAAAAAAAAAAAAAAAAAAAAAAAAAAACCAGCCACTTGCTTACAGCAAGAACACGGTAAACCCTGAAACGCGGCGAGGTTTCAGGAGCACCAAGCTGCCAGCAGAAAGCTGTCAGCGCGGACGGTCAGGCTCCTCGTCAACGCCGGCAGCACAAACCCGAACCTCCTTCTCAGCAATTTTGTGTGGCACTGCAGCGTGCAACAGAGCAAATTGCTTTTATGTTCAAAGCGCGTTCTTCCCTGGTTTCAGGTTCCAGGGTAGCGATAGTCACCCCATCAATGAATTTTTATTAAAGACTTCTGCACTATCATAAAACACTAAAACTAGAATCCAACAGCAGGAACATAATGGAATTACAATAATAAAATTTATAATAATAATAATAAAAATGGCCAAGAGCTGTGACATTCACCATCCAGATACTGGTCTGTGAATACTTCCAGAAAGTGTTTGGTTTTTTTTCAGACCAGATCAATTTCTTGAACTTACTTTTTGTAAGGCTTCACTGGAAGTTGTACAACAAATGTACCAAGGTTTTCCTCAAGCTGGTAATTGTTTTCTTCTTAATTACCACAAACTGTAATAATCAACTGCCAGTAGCAGATCAACAGCCTGGCACAATAGTCAGCAATAAAATTTTGAGTCCTAGGCCAAGGCTCTGCCTCTTTTCTGGATCCTCAGCCCAGATAAACAAAACCCACCTGTTTTTCTGATGTTACGCTGTAGGAAATTAGCATAAAAAAAAGCAATGGAAGATCTTGTGGAAATGGAAGGTCATTTTATTGTACAAAAGCTCTAGGCAAGTTGATTTTATGCCCAGTTTCATACTCACAAGCTGTAGGCATTCCAACGGTCTGGCCAGGATCTTCTGGGTTCCTCTTTGCTGGTGATGAGAAATTGCTCTTGAGATATGTCTTTTGTATCATTTGGAGTGGTCTTTTGTTTCGCTGCTACCTTCCTGTTGGGCTGAGAAGAAAAAGGGCAGCACGGGTGATACGGGGCAATCTCACTGCCATCTTCCTGTTGTTAAACTACAGGATCTTCCACTGACAAGTTCTCTCTGATGTAGTTTTATCAGGCTGTCCCAGGCTTGACAGAAACAACCCATTTCTCAATTTGATTATTTAGAAATGGCATCCTTTGCAATCAATACAGGACATTTGGTGCCTGCTGTTTGCTGTTTTTTCAGGTGTTTTCACGCACGCACACGCACACGCACGCGTTCATACGTCCTTCATGCCAATTGTAACACTTCTCTTGCAAGGCCCCAGAAGGCCTCCTGTTTTAAAACAGCATTGCTCATGGGAAAAATATCAGACTTGGCACAATTTCAAGCCCCTGCCACAATTAATTGACAAAGATGCCCACACAGTGGCCAAGAGCCCACATAAAACCAGAAACCCTTTCTTATTTAAGACGCAGATGTGTGGGAATATTCGGAGCGCTACTGTTAAACTGCCCTAAGGAATGGGGTGGTGTTTGCACCTTTCCTGGGTCATCCCAGGCTCACCTGCGCGTTAACCGTGCCTGTTCCGCTGCTCTCGGTACCTCGCTGCACAAAGCAGTGCCTTTTGACTTGCGAAAAAAGAAAGCCCCTGCCAAAAAAAGAAAGCCCCCGCCACCCCCACCAGATGAGGTCTAACCTGTTGCTGGAGGCTGGGGGTCAGGGCAGTGGCTGTTCCAGCTGGATACAGCTGTTCTTGGAGATATCTTCTCCGCCACCATGCTCTATTTAGTGGAGCCCTTCCTCTGCCAACTAACAAACCAAAGTCCCAGCTCTACCACTACCTTTTTTTCAATATTTTCTTCTGTCTCCTAGGACAGATGAGTAGGTCTCAAGTCAGTTAAATTTCCCTCTGCCAGCCTTCCCCTTTTTGTTCTGAGAACGGGTTCCTTCTACGCAGTCAGGTCTCCAGCAACTAACCTACTACTTGTTGTTTGAGGCTGACATACCTACACACTTCACAGACATGTTTCTTTTTATGAGAAAAATGTGTTAGCAAGTCTCTGCTCACCTGCCCTCACTATAGTCGAGGGGATTTCAGAGGGAACTCCAGAGAACTGCAGACTACACAGCTTAAAATAAATTTATCCAGAAGTGCCCTGTGCCATCAAAGCAACAAAAGCAGGAGAGTCCCAGGGACATCTTCCTGCCCTTATTTCATGAAAATAAAGGGGACATTTGGGGGACTTAAGTGATATTTCATATTAGCTCACTCTGTAACTCACATCTACTGAGGTGGAAAAGTTCTATATTTATCCAAATTTTACTGCTTCTTCAATAGGCTGGGGAAACTTAAAGAATAAAAAAGAAAGTTATGAAAGGGTCTGGAAAGTATGAGGGCTGCTTCTGTGGAAAGGAGGGAGGAAAGTAGAGCTCAGCAAGAAAAGGATGGTTCTGAAGTAGTAGATGAAGACCAGAGGTAACCTCAGGGCAGACGGAGGCAAATGAAAAGTACTGCAGGCAGACCAGCAATGGCAGAAAATTCAAAATCTTTTTATATTCATAGAAGAATAAGAACAAAAATCCCTTTCTGCCTCATTCTGTGCTCTCATGTCAACCGTTTCTTTTTACAAGGACCTGGCTCAGGTCAGCAATCTCTGCCAAGTTTGGCAAAGTTCTTTGTACACCACCTTCTCTGGAGCTGTTGGTGGCCAAGCTGACACCGACTCTCTGGCGTGACAAAGCCTTAACTTCAAAGTTAGTGAGAAAAAGAGTAAGTAGAGACCTCTTGTCCTAAAATCCAAAGAGTTCTTTGTTCCTCTTTTATTTCTTCATTTGCAATACACCCTGCGTGCTGGTGGAAGAGGCAATCTGAAATCCTGTCTGTCACAAATTAGGCATATTCTTTATTCTTTACTCTGCCTTGTGGGTGGACACACTCTGCTATTAATATACTTCTTGGTTCTTCCCTTGATTTCTGGACTAATGACCTCTTTTAAGCAGAACCATTTGAGCCAGTAACCAGTGAAACTTGTACCGATTTAAGGAAAAGGATATGATACAGCTGATGCTAGTTGCAATTATTTAACAGGGGAAAAAAAAAAGCTGTAGAGAATGACTGGAGTCAGTGACACAGATTCCAGTAAAACCAAACCCACTAAGTTTTACAGGGCATGTTGCCTGCTGGAGGCTTACGTCAGGATTCTTAGGCTCTGCTGATAAAACTCTCTTCTGGCTCTGCTCATCTCCCTTAATCATCTTATTCAAGCAATGCTTCCTCAAGTCATGAATGCTCAAATAGGTCTACTAGGAGGTCCAGCGGATCTGCCACCAGCTGTCATTTTGCTAGTGATTCAACCTCGTGACCACGGACAAACCACATCTTTTCTCTCTCTCAAACTTACTGCTATAGAACAAAGCAAATGCTAAGTGGCTCGCAGTTTGAGATCCTGACAATTTCTCCAGCGCAAACTGCACCGTGTTTCCCAGCAGAGAAAGTTAACCATGTGGGTGGGGATAAAACCACAGAAAAGTTCTGGGATCCCTTTACGTGGCAAGAAAGAGATGGATACGTTCTACAGTTTGCTTTGCTTTTCACCTCTAGAATAGCTGTGTAAAATGGAAGACATCTGAATTTAAACTTTGCTGTCAAAGGTGGTTTGGTATTAGATAGACTTAATAGGAGTGGGGGTTGTGGGGCATCACGCAGCCGTGCATCTTTGGTACATCTAAGATATCCACGCCTAAGCTCACATTCTCTTCCCTTCTCTTGTTTCCCCGTGAAACCTGTTGGTCTTTTTGTGTTGATGGCTGTTCATGTCTGTCATTGATCTTCATTTATGTGCCTTTTCTCTGCATGAAGGCTGAGCATCCTGGCAGTCCGGGGCTGTGAATACCACTGGTTGTGCAGGCTCTCTCAGAAGTGTGCTGCATATTACACAGACTAACATATATACTTCCACCCCAGACAGTGCAAATCCTTGTTTCCTTAGGGATGAGTAACTGGGAGAAAAATCAGGTTGATAGGAAAGAAGGATATTTCATGAAAGAAAGGTGAAACAGTCATTATAATTTTTTATATTCATTTCTGCCATCCCACAGAGCCTCCTTCAGCTCTTGAGACAGGGACACTAAAAAGAAAGCAAGCCTGGGCATGTGATCTGGGTCTTGTTAGTGAGGCTGGTTTTGGGACAGCTGTGGTCTCAGCTCTTTGTTTCATTATTACTAGCACTGAAAGAAACAATTAATTCCATTTCATCAGGAAGAATCAAAGAGCACTTCTAATCTCCTACCTGAAGAGTAAGAAAAACAAGTCATCTGCCCTGTAGAAAATCAGTACTGGACTGTTTTAAAAAAGCCCTCAAGTGAGATGTTCTGGAAAAAGTGAGACTTTTCTGCCTATTTGTTTTCTGAGTCCTTGGTGTGCATTTCATCATATTTTCATTTTTCCTTCTCAATCACCAAAGCTAACTTTTTACTCTTAGAAAAACTACACTTTTGCACTGAGGATAAATCACATACTGGCTGACAGAAGTATGAAGGTGAAGCCATTCCTCTCCCCCTCCTTCAGCACTGGTCACTATCTGACAGCACTGAGCCTGCATATTTCTCTTTGCAATTTCCATTTCCTAGTAAAAAGTTATCTTTGAAAAGCAGTAAATTCACTCGCCTCTTCTTTTGTTGTTGTGCTTATACACATATAGCTTCCAGTCATAGCCACAATTGAAGATCACATACATGTCCATGACTACCATGGAGAAAAACACAAATAATGTGTCTGAAAAAAAAATTAATGAGCATTTAGTCTCGGAAAACTCTCATTCAAGGAATGCCAAGTTGAAGCCCCCCATTGTAACCTACATGCATGTGGCATGACAAGCTGAATCAGCACATGATTTTCAGAATGCAGGGAACAGTTGTCCTTTAAATGCTGAGCAACTCTTGGTTAAAAGATCACTCAAGATTGACTGCTAAAGGTCCCTTGGTCAAAAAGCCCGAGATTGTTTTCTAAAGGTCCATTGACCAAGAAGCTCAGCTGCAGAAAATCCAGCTGTCTCAGGAGGCAACCCGGGGCAGAACATGTCAGGGGGATTTGGGCAGCCTAGATGCCTTCCCGGGTACTACCAAATCCCTACCATTCCCACTTCTCCTCTAGAACACCTTTTATCCATCGCAGGCCAGCCTGGCAGCTTGGAGAACAGACTTGAGAACATTTCCACGTTTCTTTCACTGGTCCTTTGCAAGAGCTCTTTCTCCAGGAGAGCAAGGCCGGACTGAAACCAAATGCCCAGTTCCTTCTGCCAGTCCCTTTCAACACCTTCTCTTCCAGCAGCCACAGTCAGTGTCCGCCACAGGACAACCCTCATAAAATCATTGCATTGTGTTGTTCCTGAGTGTCTTTGGATACAGTGGTTGTAATTTCTTGATACTTGGGATAGGGTTACTGGATACCAAACGACTATTTGAAAGTCCAAAGAGAAAAAATAGCACTCGTGAGTTATTATTTTAATGGAAGACTCACTGGAGGCGTTTTCACTTTCATTCATGATCTCTCCCACTAGAGGGTACTCTGCTATTATAAAATAAAGTGCTCTGCGCTGAGGCTGCACCGTGATACAAGCTGTTAGAAGAGCCTTTGCAAATAAATTGGAAGGACATTTCTAACACACCTCGTGTAATGATACAGTGAGCTGGTGGGGAAGCTTTCCAGCTTGAGCCCTTAAAAACATAACTTTTTTTTGAAATACCTATCTTCGTACGGTTCTGCAGGTCTTGCTGCATCCACAGCACAGCCCCTCCCACCTGATTACTTGTGAAACATCAAAGGGCGTCCCGGGACACATCACCTACTCACCGGCTTGTCTGGCTTGATCCTTGCTGGCTCTAACATGCTTACCCGCGCTCACTCCAGGTGCTGCACCAGGGACACACAGGCTCTGACCCTGGTCCATGCTGGTGGCTGCACTTGGTTTCTCTCACTCAGGTCTCCCCAGTCACTGGCACCCAGGCACACGTGCCCACTGGCCCGCGGTCCTGGCCCAGCTGCTGGCACCAGGCCCCCAGACGCACGTGCACACCAGCTAGGGAACCCCTCATCCAGGAAAAGAGTTAGAAATGGAGTTTAATGAGAAGACAGGACAGATCGTGGTGACCAGGTGCTGGGCATGGCCAGACAAGTGTACTGACCAGCCTTCTGTGTACATGCAACCAGACCCTTTTATCCCTTTATCTCTCCATTTTCCCAGGCTTTTTCACCCACAAATCCCCTTGATTCTTCCCTTTCTCACCTTTGGCTCCTCCCCTAAGCATCCCATAATAAGCCCTGTGCAATCCCCAAATGCTCTTCCCCTGCATCCCATCATGTGTCCATACCCCTTTAGGCAGTGACCTCCCTCAGTTCAAAAGGTGCTCCACTGATGGCTCATCTGGATGGGTTTCACACCCGGACCCTGGGGATGAGGATCTCCTGGGACATCCCTGGGCAAGGTGCCCCTTCCTCTGAGTCCTTAGTTTGGCCTCCCCACCTGCCCTTGGGCCCTTGTGCTCCCCTGGGCTCATGGAGGTGGGCCTTTAGTGGGCTGATTTCTCTCCTTCCTGTGCTGGGGAGCAGCCAGGGTGGGGTGTTATTTGGACTCCCCCACCTGCTATTGCCTCTCTGTCCTCCTTCATGGGTATGCAGCCAAGCTCCTTGACACATAACCCAACAGGTCCTCCCTCAAACACGCTGTGGATGTTGCAGTTCAGATTCTCCTCTTCCTCTGAAAACAAGCGCCTGCAATTTTTTTTCTCTCTCAGGTTTCTCTTCAGATCTTGTAGCCTTTTGTGAAGTGTGGAGCCTGGTGTCTGCTCCTGCAAAAGACCCAGCACAGTGATGTAGTAACCACGACAAAGCTCTACGTTATCTGGCAGAAAGAAGCGACAAGAAGGCAAGAGGGCTTCCATTCACAGCACAGGACTAGCAAAAGCTTGCAAGGAAAACTGGGAACCTGTGGGAGGTCAGAGGGGGTGACTCCCAGCTACGGTCACTTACTGGTTTTGTCTGTGGATGCCACCAGCCCTCCAGAGAAATTTCATGCCTGCGTGACCAGCAGGGCAGGGCAGACTTTTCTGGGGAACCTCTGTGTGAGGCTGCTGGTTACAGTGCCTGAGCTCTGCAGCGCTCCCTTGCCTTTGTCTAGAAGGGACATCCCATCTGCCCTCCTGGGCATTTTCAGTACCTCTTCCATGCCTTTCCACCTAACCATTGACTCATTTTTCTCCTTCATGCTCCAGGCCTTCCCCAGCATTGCTAGAGCTTAGATGGAGCACATATGGTGTCATCTGCTCAGTGTGGCTGTCCCATTTTGTCACATTCCTAGTAAGTGTTGCCAAGGCTTTTGAAGGATGTGAATAATTAGTGGAAACCTTGGGTGTTTTCATTACCTCATTTTGGTAAACAACGTGCTGGTCCTTCGGTGTGTGCAGGCTCACGGCTTTCTTGCTTATGTCTTGATGTAAGTCTTTCTCCATTGCAGGTGTTCTGGGTGCACTATGTCTCTTCAGTCTGAAAAAAAAACCCCACCCAAAAAAACATTAACTAGTCACGTAATGCTTGGAAACCTCCTGGCATTTAGAGTGAATCTTGCTATTTTAAAGGTGCTGTTACCACCTGGATAAGTTTCGAGGGCAGGTATATAAAAACACCAACAGGAAACAGAAAGGCAAATTGCAAGGGGAACACAGGCAAGCCATATAATTTGCAAGAAAATTGAAATTATTCTTACTTTTTCCTTCTTCTGTTGACTAGTGTCCTGATGTAATATATCAAGACTATTAAGAACACCACAGCTATTAAGACCGCCATGATGATTTCGCTCTTCTGAACACCTACAAAAAGAAACCAATAAGTTCACACAGAACATGTCAACATGTTTCTCGTGTCCTCTTCCAGAGGTTGGGACTGAGTGAAACATTCATCAGTTTGTGCTCATTTATTCTTTGAAGAAGAGAAAGGAACACTGTAACAATGTAACACTGTGGTAGGTGAGGAATTATTTTATTTTTTTTAAATAAATATTGATAAAGTCTCACATTTCCCTGGTATTGGGTGAACCAAAACCCAGCATTTTTACTTCTTATCTATTTGTATTTCTCTTTCTATATGAAGAAGTTTTATCATGAGGAAAGTCTCCTATCCTTCCTGAGACATACCCTCTTGCAAGATCTTCCACGTGAAATGTTCCCCAGCATTCAACAGCCAGGGGCCTGCTCTGCTGGTACCCTCCAGCTGTGGATACTGCTGGAGAGCTGATGGCATCTGCTCTAAACCACTAATTATGTAGAAATATAAACATAGAGACATACATACATATGTACACACCAATGTACATATTTATTAGATATATATACGCACACACTCGGAGGCATCTTCTAGATGGTTTCAAATCATGAAATCTTCATCTAGCATGAAGTCTGAACTCCCAGAAAAATGTCTAGTGAGACCTAGGTAAGTACAAGCTGCACTCACACAATTGCACATCCTTTCCTAAGAGCTCCCCACTACACGCTGCACCTCTCCATACAAATGCAGCCTACCTTCTCCTCCTTTTTTCAAGTAAATGGTCTTCATTTTCCTTCCCTGTGGGTGGTCAAGGAGGCAGGCCAAGGTACGGAGGTGGTTGGCAGAGAAGGTAAGTCTGTTTGCCACCGTTACTGTTCTGTTTGCATTTTGTATGTGGTGTATTTCAGGGGACTCATCCAGGTCTCTGTCAGCCAGCCAGGTGATTTTGGGGGCAGGCTTTCCTGTTGCTGAGCAAACTGCGGTAAGGAGACCCTTGGTGGGCAGGTGGGGATCATATTCCACTGTTAGCTCAGAAATTGCTGAGAGGAAAAAGAGAAGGTACTTTTTACACACTGTGGCAAGTTTACGGCCAAAGCTGGGTGGGTCACCTCTCTGTACGGGACTTCTTATCCAAAAGCATCTCCTGGCTTATTTACCTTCACCTCCTCTGAGGAAAGGTGTGGCAACTCTGGAGACTATCCACCAAGGAGATGCTGCTGCATGGAAAGTCTCCATGCAGTGGAGGGGATATTGCCTTACCCACCTCCTGACTACACCAGACTTGTGCTGAGTGCCAGAAAGGAGAAGGTGGAAAACTTACTTTGGATGTCGAGGCATATATCTTTGCTGAAAGAGCCATGAGGGAACACGTTGAAAATGCATCTGTAATAGGACTCATCCTTGAATGTGAGATTTTGGAGTGTGATAGCTGAGGCCTCCAGAGTTGCTCTAGTGAAATGCGCCTTCTTCTGAAATGACCCTATCAGCCTCAGCCCATGGTTTGGGCTGTAGGTGGCTATGTTCTGGAAGGAAGACCCGTTTATCTTCTGCCAAGTGACTTGCAAAATATCCATCCAGAGCGAGAAGTTGCAATACAAATTTGCCTCTCCACCAAGGGCTGCCACAATAATGCTGTCAGATTTCACAGCTTCTTTCAAACCTAGGAACAAAGCAAACCCCAAAGTCAGAGCAAGAGGAAAAGCAATTAACTTGGGGAAGGCTATAGTGCCTTGAAGCATCCAGTCACAGCGTTCCCATCTTGCAGAGCACTGGAGCAAGGAACTTCACCATGAGGTTGTGTGGCACACTGAGAGACCTCAGACACCTTGTTCTCATGGGTGGCCATCACATCATTAGCCTACACTGTACTTTTCCTGTGGTGAGGAAGAAGGCAGCATGGGAACAGAGGGAAGGCAGGCTCCCTAGCAAGCACAGCAAACTTGAGCCTGGGGCTTGTCTGCCAGCTTCTTCCCACTGCATTACTCTTAGCTCGCCTTTGTCCCCGGCAGCTCAGAGGTGTCCTCTACAGACCTGACATACAGCAACCACCCAGCAAAAGTTGCTCTCGCTCCGGAGAGCATCCCTGCTCCCCTCTCACCAGCACCCGCAGGGGTGCAGGGGGAGGCAGAGCAGTCCAGGGCACCCCGCAGCTGGGAGGCAGTGCAAACGGCTGCAGAGGGATATCCCCCGGCCCCAGCCTCTCCCAACAGAAGTGTGCACTGCCCAGACGTATGTTGGAAATGCAAACCTGCTCTGTCCTTTGTGCTGAGGAGCTTAGCAACACTTACAAAGAAAGGGAATATAGGGGCTGAATATACAGCTTGAGTGCAAAGACAAACTGCCCTGTGCTCTCTCTGACCTGCATTTCCCAATTTTGCTGCTGACCAACCCCCAGATTACTCGTTACTGTTCCAGTTATCAATTAGTATTTTTCAGTCAGGATGGCATCTGGGTCTCTCTGCTTGCCAAGAAAGGCTGGTGCTGCTCGGGAGTTAACTTTGTGTGGGGAAAGGACACTCCACTCACCCATCGCTGGCTTCTCCAGCTGGCAGCCTCCGCAGAGCAGCAGCAGGCAGATTTCAGCCCAGCAAAGGAGGAGGAAAAGCATCGTGGGACAGAGCAATTGCCCGGGAAATCTCACCCCCTTTCCCTGCACCCCTCAGAGGGTGGCTGCCATGTCTGAGAGGACGGTTGAAGATTTCGCGCTTTTTTTCCAAAGCGCTCCTCAGAGGCCAATCAGGAGAGCTGTGGAAGCAGGGCTGGCAGGGAGCAACCGGCCAGGCGGGAAACCATCCCCTCGTTTCCTTCCGCAATCCTGGTCAATCATTAATCACGGGAAACTGGCTGTGGGTTAGCTGCACAACTTTGTCCCCTGCCAACTGCACTCATTGCCAGAGCTGGAAATAAACAGCACTCCCTTTTTATTTTTTCCTAGCAGCAAACCTTGGTGTGGCCCCTTCTGAGCCCCATGCTGCTGAACTCTGCTGCGAGTGCCCTCAGAAGGACTTGCACCTTGCGAGGTGTCAATGTGGGATCCTTCTGGTAAACGTGGGTGGTGGCTGGCAGAGAGGGAAGAAACAAGGGGCCACAGGCCCCAGCAGCCCCTGCTCCCTTTCTCTTTGGAAAGGACGGGAGGGTGGGCAGGGAGGCACTGCCTGCGGATCACCACCTCTGCGGCTGGCTGAGCACCACGCTGGGCACCGATCCCAGGCTCCTCGGGGAGGTTGCTTTCCTTCTCCTGGCCCTAGCACAGAGGACTCGCAAGCAAGAACAGGAGATGGTTCCCCACCAAGAAGGTAGTGTGGAGACACCTGCAGATGCCACCGCTTCACCCCAACCCACAAGCACACCAAAACCACAAGTTGGATTGTGAAAGGAGTCTGCAGAGGGTAGGTCTGGCTGAAGTCTCCCTGCCCCAGATGTGTTTACATCTCATGTAATTCCAGAAGGGGAAAGCCAGGGCAGCAGCAGTGTTCCTGGGCTCAGGGGCGGGGTCTTGTGTCCATGGGTTTTGCTGTAAAACCACACAGCACAGCTCCTGGCCACTTGGTAATCCAGTGGTGAGATTAAACACCATGTGAAGTTTCGAGCTGCGTTTACAGAAGGATACCCACCGTATTCTGTACAATTTTTTCTGTAAGAAAGGGAGAAGGCTATCTTACAGGAAAATATGAGAAGCAAATACCATACCCATTCTGTGTTCATCTCTGTTAATTACAAATTTGACTCTTCCCTCCATCTGCAGGGGCAGCATAATGTTTCAAGTTTCTTGCAGATTTCCATAGATTTACAGTCTTCCTCCCTTGCCCCAAACCTTGTAGGTTAATTCATAAAAAGGCAAGATGAACTCCAGAACATCCCTCCTGGCACCTCTGGTAAGAGAAGGGGCTCCGTCCAGCCTCTCATTAGGCCTCACAGCACCAGCTTGCACTGCAGGCAAAGAGCGGGGAAGTAAAACCAGTGTGCACCACAGTGTCAGAGCCTTCCCACAGGGTTCCTCGGGGATTTTCAGCTTCTCTCCCCTTCCCTGGCTCTGTTATCTCTCTTCTGCGATGCTGGCTCCCCTCTCAGTCTCCTCTTTCCCAGACTTCTGCTCTGGGCAGAAGGTGCTGCCTTAGCCCAGGGGACCAGCCAGGCAGGAGCATTTGGGACCCACCTCTCTGACTCGCGGCAAGCCCCCAGGGGCCTGCCGAGTGATGCTCCACAGCAAGCTCTATGGCATGTAGTAGAGAAAGCCATGGCAACTCACTTACGTCCACTTTCCCAGGGTCAGAATTGCCAACCAGGCGCTTTATTGACAAACCAAAAAACCTCAACAAAAACAAGCATCAGAGATTCTTGCAGAAGCAACTCAACACAAAAAAGGGAAGGCAAGGATAAGAGAGGATGCAGCTAATGCTGTGGAGGTCACACAGGGACTCTTCTTGGTTAGGAGGGCCAAAGAGCAAGTGGAGGTGAATACGCTCAATGCACATGGGTAGCTGCATGGGGACGCGAGCTCACTGCTCCAAGCAAATGCCCAGCCCTAGCTAATGCTAAGCAGCCAGCACAAATATCACTGCAATGATGATCTTGCACCCAAGATACAACAGACAGAGCAGATCTGCTCCTCTCTCGTCAGTCCTCAGAGCCTGGTTGGCGATCAGAAAGCAGACCCATGTGCGGGCACCAGTCACACACACAGAGTTTTGTGGAGGTATATCTTCAGTTTCTTTCCTATGCGAGAGGAGAGACTGGTGGAATCATCTTAAATTGTGCCCACTTCTAACCTTCTAGAAACTCTTCATTATCCACGCAGAAAAATGGGCTCAGGTATTTTTATTACAGCAACAACCTTTACTCTCTGAATCTCACTGCTTTTTTACCTGGGCAAGGATCTTGCCGGCCAGCTGCATACTGTGGGACAAAACATGCCCCCACCTGCTCACATCCAAAACAACAACATACAAAAATGGCACTTGCACCTCTAAAAAAATCCTGGTAACAGGTCAGATTATTGAAACAGAATCTGTTCGACTTCTTATATTGTTTCCCACATCCCTCCTTCCTGACTTTTACTTCATTTTATGTAGTTCCTGAACTTTGCACACAAAAAGAAACTGGCTTATTTTCTCTTTTCAGGCGTTTATCAAAGGCTATGGAAGATGCGGTTGTTTGTTTGAAAAGAACTATCCTGGAGGACTGATTGTCCAAGCCAGACCTTAATGCTTTCAACTTTTCAGATAAAGCAGCGTGTTTGGACTGTAAGTACTGGAGAGTCTGACCTTAATTAATTAATTTTTATTTACTGAAGAAAAAAAAAAAAATGAAGTCTGCAGAACTGCCCTAGGATTAAATTGAAAAGACGACTTTCTGGGGGCCACTCTCTCTATTTCAGGCTTTAGTTTTGCTGTTTCTGCTGATGCCAAAGAGGAGAATTACTAGTAAAGAGAAGGACAATTCAGTAGTTTTATAGCACTATTTTCTCCCCCTTTCTGTTGGTTCGTGTTTCTTGTTCTCAGTTCTGCTGGAGACCAAGGGGCACCCTGCTCCTGGTCACAGCCTGTAGACAAAAGAGCGAGGAGAAAAGTAAATGTTGGCTCACTCCTGGCTGCAAGCCCAGATACATTAGCTTTGCAAAGCTAATCTTATGGGAAGTGTTTCTCCTGGAAGCAGCCAAGTCCTAAGGGCTTGTTTTCTAACACATTGCCAAACTCAAAGATTTCCTGTGAAAATCATTCACCCATTTGTCTCCACTTAGAGCCCCTTCCCTTGCACTCAGGCTCTGCATTTGCCTTTTTGGCCTGGTCCTCTCTCCTTCCCTCCTTCCTCCCTAAATCCCATTTCCCAGCTCAGCCTCATGACAACCATGGTTAGAGAAAGGCAAGGGGTGCCAGCAGGGGAGGGATGATCCAGGCATGAGGACAGCATCTTCAAAGGTGTGATGAGATGGAATACCATCAGGGAGAGGAAACAACCTTGAACAGACCAGGAGAGGCAAACGACGTGGCTGTGTCAAGTAACAGCAAAAGCAAAGGACAAACTTTCTATTGTTTGCGGCCACTGGTTGATTGTACAAAATCAGGTCTGGATCCTGTGGACCAGAAAAAGAGCAAAGGAAGAAGAAACAGGCTAAGGGAATGAAGGAAGCTGTAGACAATCAAGTAGAGGATCCCCAGACCTTCTTGCTCACCTTTCAGGAACAACATCTGTCCCACTAGAGATGAGTGATGCTGTCTCCTAGCAGCTTCTAGCTTCAGTTTTTCCAAGTTGGCCTCCAAATCCATGTCTGCCAGTTCCACAGCAGAATGACAGAGACTCACAAGCCTGAGACTAGAGGAGTTAAAACTGCACAGTTCCTTCTGCTGGGCCAAAGCCCACTGGAGAGCCTGGTGTATCACCCCACTTCAGACTGGGATGTTATTACCCATGACCCAGGATTCAGCCCCCCTTCTTTTACATCCTAGGCAGAAGGTTTCCACCCCAGAGGAGCCTGCAGGGAGCTCAGCATTTTCTGTTGGTGATGCAGCGAGGACTTGGTTTCCCCGTGCAGCCTGAGCTAGATTCTGAAGAATGTTTTCTGATTGTCTTGACATGGTCAGAAGCCTTTACAATAACGGTTTTCAGAAAGAAATGTTGAAGTTATATACATAGATAAATACTGAAGCATTGAGTAGAGAACTGACACCTTGCTTCTATTAATAAATCCTTTCTAGAAAAGAGACAGCCTACATTTAATACGCTTAAAATTAAACTGTTCTGCAGTAGACATGCAAAGATCTTCAGAAAACTATACTAGGACATTCCCCCTTTTCTCCTCTTTTTGTATAGATTCTGATATTTAGAAAAAAACCTGTAGCAAACAAAGATACTTTTACTCAGCTGATGGGCAGCTAAAAAACCACCACAATCTCACTTATGAAAATAGCTACATTCCTGTAGACAAAGAAAGCTCAAGGCAAATTGGTTTCTTTAAGCCTAAAACATAAGCCTGGATGTTTATAATCAGGTGCTAGACATTCTGTAATTTATTTGAAGGATAATATCAAATAAAATATTCTAATTTAAAAAAATCTAATTTTTAGTCTAAAAGTGTAGGGTTTTTCTTCTGCAAGCTTTTCATTGCATCTTAGTCTTTCATGTACTAGCTCAAGTGCTCTTTTACTAGACAAGCTGCCTTTTCTTCCCTTTTCCTTAGCATGGTTAAGTACTGCAGCTTCTGACAAGTTAGGAAAGTCAAAACTCTGTATTGCGCATGGGTCTTAGACTGAGGATTCCCTCAGGCTTCCCAGAAATGTCAGGCGGCTATTTTCAAAGCTGAGCAGACTACAACCCAGTCAATCTGCAAAGAGCTTGGACAAGAGTTCAGTGCTCCGTTCACACACAGCTTTATATGAGCAAAGATTAAAGCAGCAGAGATATGAGAAGGCCCTTTGTATGGCTTCCAAAATATGAGTAATTTCTGGTATACTAAGAGTGAAAACAAAAATATGCTTGATTTTTATCTGCCTGGACCAATAGTCTCATTTATGAAAGAGAAAAATACACTGAATTAGTGCAACTCTCTTATTTCAGCTGATTTGCAGGGGCTCAGTGCTGAAAACTGAACAAAAAAACAATAGATTACATTTTTTTTCCATGTCTGACTTCATAAGAAAATTTACTGGTGTGGTATTTAGTAGATGAATCAGTCCCCCAGGGTCACACAACAGAGAAATGATGAATGATGGTTTCAATCCTCTATGACCAAAACAAAGTTCCTTTTCACTGTGTGGCTTTAGTCCCATGCCTCTGCTAGCAGTGGTTTCAGAAAAAGAATATTCTTCCTATTTCAGCCAGTGACTTGTAAAATGTCTAAGGGCAGCATTTCAGCTACATTTCAAAGTCACATCTTCAGCAAGAGCTGCTGGGGCAATTCCTTTACACCTCACTGCCCTCTTAGAACTGGGAACCTGGTACCCAGGCAAAGAAAAATGTCAACACGGTACATCTCTGAAACAGCCTGGCATGCCAAAACAGGAACCTGGACATTTTATACAGCCTGAAGACCCTTTATTATATACCAATAGATATAAATATAAAATACACAGTTTAAAAGGACACTGTCTTAAGGTCCTACATGAGTTAAAACCTTAACCCAAGCTGGCTAATATCAAGATCAAAGGATCCCAGAGCTGAGAGGCACAGGCTAAATAAACCCATTTGCTTTGCAGAGAGAAGCACATTACCCAGAGCCAGTTTTACCCAAGAGGCTAGCAGGAGAGTGGAATTCCCGCTTGCCCTCTTTCCACCTGTTAGGAAAAATGATGCCCTGCGTTGGCACCACTGTTGCCCTAGGCTGGACAAATTGCAGTGACAGGAGGTGGCCGAAGACAGGGTTGGGTCAGACTAACAGCTGCCCAGCTATGAGACAGGCAAAAGCCCAGCCTTTTTGTGGGTTTTGGTTTTTTTTTTCTTTGGTTGGTTGGGGTTTTTTTGTTGTTTTGGTTTTTTGTTTGTTTTTTTTTTTTCTTTTTTGTGGTGGCAATAGTAGCTCAGAATATTTCTGTAGAGTAAATTTGAAAATATGCTCTGCCTCTGTCTACTTACAAAGTTAACCTGCTTCATATCACTCATGTTGGAGAGGCAAAATAGAGCAGTCCATTCCACTTTAATTTCTTACCAGTTTTATTTTTACTTCTCAAGATCTATTCAAAATTTGCAACATTTCATAGCCTAGGTACTATTTATTAAAATAAATACTAAGTATCTGTATAAACCCATCTGAAATATAACCTCCAAAGAATTACTGCCAAATTGTTAACAGAGATAACTGGACAGACAAGCACAAGATAATCACAAAGAAACCTCAGAACAGCAGTTAAGATGTTATTCACCCACAGTAAAAACTTCTGATACGCTCAGTCACATGCTTGTTCTCTGAAAGGTGTTTTTTTATCTATTTCATACATTTTTTTTTTTCCAGCTAACAGCCAGTTAATTATACAGTCTGTATGCTTACATTCATTTCATGAAGCTTGGCTACATATGAAGCCAAACTCCACAGCACTAGCATACAGCATTTTATGGCACTGCATTTTAGTAGCTGGCTCTGTACACGATGAAGGCAAATACATGTGTTGGTTTTAAGTGTTCTGCCTTTGGATGTCATTTGCTGTTCTCATTCTGATACTGTGAAAGACAAATCGATAACGTCTTCCTTTCTGTTACAACATTTTGCTTGTAAGCTACCACATCCTTCTCTTTCACTCAGTCTTTAGTCCTATCGTGCTCGTAAGTAGAAACCTACAAAAGCTTTTCACAATTCAGCATTCAGCTAAATATTTATGGCCTCAAGCTGCGCCAGGGGAAGTTTAGGTTGGATATTAGGAAAAACTTCTTCACCAAAAGGGTAGTCAGGCACTGGAACAGGCTGCCCAGGGAAGTGGTTGAGTCCCCATCCCTGGAGGTATTTAAAAGAAGGGTAGACGTGGTGCGCAAGGACATGGTTTAGTGGTGGACTTGGCAGCGCTAGGTTAACGGTTGGACTCGATGATCTTAAGGGTCTTTTCCAACCTTAATGATTCTATGATTAAATAGCAAAAGAAATTACAATCCCACATATAAACAGATATTTTCATGACTCCAGACCCTGCTTTTCCCCATTCCAGGTGATCGGCTTGTAGAAATTAATAATAGTTAAGCTCTGCAATCTTCCTGGGTTTATAAAGGTCTCTGGGTAGCTTTGTGCCTTTCTCTCTTCCCTGTGAAAGTCCTTTTCATTACCCCTGCCCAGACTCACTGTTTCTTCAAAAGACTCATTTCTCCTTTTTAAAAAAGGACCCATTAGTTTAAACATCAGTGGAAGCCTTCTTTTAAAACTCAAAAAACCCTCTCCAAAAGCCCCTTGAAGCGCAAGCACGGACCCTGCTGAGCAGCGAGGGCTGACCCTGCAAGGCCTGCTCGGGAGGAGCACCGGGGTGAGCCTGGCCCTCTCGCCCCCATCCTGCCCCCCATGAACCACCGACCCAGCGGAAAACCTGCCTCCCCCCCGGCCCCTTCCCCACAGGGGAGGAGGAAACTAAGCTGCAAAGGCAGAAAAGCTTGGACAAAATGCAGCTTCCTCCTTTGACAATTATGGGGCTCAGGAGAAAAAAATCCTGATCATGATGGTTACAGCCAGTTCCCCTTTCCTCACGCTTGCCAGCTGCGCTTATTACTAAGTGTTAGGGAGCCTAAAAAAGCATTTTTTGACAAGGACTGGGTTTATTCATTCTCAACTCACCCACTCGCTTTCATTTCAGGTTACTCAGCTTTTTGACTACAACTCAGCCTGATTCATCTAGGATGCACATTTGAAATAGCTGGGTGAGGAAAAACTAGATGACACACACTTGCTCCGGGAAGCCAGGAGAAGAGAAACAGCCTGCACTGTCTTCATGCTGCCCACAAGCCCACACCAGCCAGGTGGGCTCATTTATCCTTCTCTAGGACTACAAGGAAAGATTTCATGGGCATAGGGTGGGATTCAGGGAATTACAGGAGAACCGCTCAGATCTGACCTGCAGGTTATAAGCAATGAATTTCAGCAACAGGCAACGCTTGTTGCCCTGCGCTGGTGTATATCTGCCCACAAGCAGGACCTCTCCCCTCACTCCTGCCAGCTTCCTGCTTCCCCCTGCACTCACCTGCCTTGACACCACAACATACACAAAATCCCCTAGGAAGCCTGCTGCCCCTCCAACTGCCCTTTTATTTCCCTGCTTCCTCCTGCGGGCAGGTGGGATGCCTGGAAACACAAGGCAGCTGTGATAGATTAGGGAAATTAAGAAGGGGACTGTGGAAAGCACAAAAGAAGAAGAGGAGAGAAGGAAACATCTATATGGGTTTTGCTTTTGCAGCACTTTCTAGGAAAGGCTAGTGGAAGTCGACGTTGGCAACTTCCTCGTGCCCGATGACTCCTAGCTTGAAGCCTGGCACCTGGGTTACAAGTTCAGGCTGGCTGTGGTCTTGGCCTGATCTCTCGTGCTCTTTGGGGAACAGGTTCAACACCCAAAGCTCACAGCAGCACGCTAGGCTGCTCCACGGGTTTCCTGCACCCCAGCCTCTGGCAGAGATCTCCTTTGGCCCATCAGCAACACCTCCCAGGCCAGCGTCCCTACAAAATGCCGCCCTGTTTCAGGCAGTCCCCCACCCAGTTTTGAGCTTGCAATGTTAACATTTCGGAAAGGAATAAACATAACTTTCAAAACCCCAGAAAATACAAAACATGATTTTCATTATGCAGATCCCCGCAGATGGTCTGAGTCTCAAATAAATACTTCACAGGTTTTTTTCTACAAAATGGAATATTATAGTGTAACAAAATAAATAAATAGCTATTATAAATCGTCCTTTTTTGTATTTCCCTTGGAGTGAAGTCACAGCAGGTTTGCTTGGAAGCCCAAGGTGCCATTGTAAGAAGTTCCTCTCTCACATGTGTAGGGCGGGCAGCTGCTCAGGTGTTCAACGGCACACCAGGGCTGGGGGACACTGCGGGAGCCCGCCTGCTTGCAGCTCCGTACTGCCCGTACTTCTTGGCCTTGGTACACACAGGAAGGACCTAACAGAAGAGAGGTTGTTGGCTTTTTTTCCTTCTTCAAAATATATGGACATTTTAAGCACAGGGGTAAAGATCCAGGCTGTGTGCATTACCAGGTGGGTCCTTGCATCCCTCTGTGTGATTGGAGACTAAAGTTTTCCCCTTGCAAGTCCCCCAGCAGCCTCCAGCTTGGACCTAGAAGCATGGCACCCATGGAAGAAGACATGTATCACATTTCCTCCCACTGCTTTTTGTCTCCAAAACACCTATCAAAAGTAAGGGTGCACGCTCTGGACATATCCCACAAGGAAGCTGAGGTGCCTTCAGCACAAAACCAGGCTGCGATTTTCTGAAACGATGCCACCTCACTCAGTTTACCCACGCGTCAAGCTTGCTTCCTTCACCCCTTGTGCCAGGATGGCCTCAGTGGGCAACCAGCAGCACCTCGGCCCCTGCCGCAGTGCAGCACCCTGGGCTTTCCCTGGCCGTTCCGCACAGAGGCGCGCTCTTCCTCTAAAGCCCCCATTTCGTTTGAGACAGGTCCTCGAAGCTGCTTCCTCCACAAGCTGCACTGGCTGTGCCAGAGGGAGGTTGTTTTAGGAGATGCAGAAGAATTGTGCAAGGGTATGGCTGCTGTTTGCACAACTATTCTGTGCATAAATATAGTAACAGAGCGACGCTTTCCCGCATCATCTCTTGTCATTGAGAAAGTGAATGTTTTCTAGCTGTCCTCTCTGTCAGGTACATATGGGCCTGGCTAAGCACCTTCAGGTTTCCCCTTCCCAGCGTGCTGCTACCCAGCTGTCTGGCTGGGTGCAGGTCCCTTCATCCCTCCCTGCCCCGGGTGCAGCCCAGGCTGGGCAGCATGCAGCCAGCTTCAAAGTGGCTGGGCAGAGTCAGGTCCCGGTGGCGAGTCCCGCAACTGGTGTAGATGAGCCCTGAGGCAGCCCAGGGAAAGGCGGACCTACCCAGCATGGCTGGGCTGGGTTTCTCTCCGGGTCACGTAGGTGCCTGAGGCAGCGGTGGAGGAGACAGGCGAGAAGGAGAAGGCAAGTCAGGGAGACCAGCACACCCACTGCAATGGCAATGGCTGGTGACACGCTGCTGTCTGGACCTGTGGGGAAAGCAGAGGGTACTCAGTTTGTGCATGAAGAAAATAAAACAACCCAAACCCATTTCAGACATTCTTTGACCAGTCCCTGGGTGAGACAGGGCAGATAGGGGCACTGGGAGCACATGCCAGCAGGCACACAGGCGATACTGCCAGCAGACCTCTGTTTGGAGTTTGATGCCACGGTCAGGCGTGTGGCACCCAGCCCCTCTGAGCTACCCAAAGCCACGTGGCCTTTTGGTGCATCAGGCTACATGACAGGGGAACCCTGCAAATCCTTGGTGGCAGCAGCAGGGAGGCTGGGGCACATCATGGGTGCAGGGCACCCGACAAGCAGTAAGACAGTAAGACATCGTATGCTGTTGCCAAGGGTGTTTGGATGCTCCTTGGCACCTCCTCCATCCCTTCCCAGCCCAGCATTGGCTGCTTTTTCCAGGTGCCTTCCCCACCGGCCCCCAACCCTCGAAGGAGTTTCCTGATCTGCCCCAGGAGGTGTTTCGTGGCCTCCTCCCTGCTCCAGGACAGGAGAAGTGTTGCATACTGACCCTGCACCACGGTGTCCATGGGCAGGACTAGGGTCATGTTTAGAGAGGGGTGTTGGATCACGCAGGCAATGGGATACTCCTGGAGGATTTTGGAGTGTGTGTGGGTGAAATTGCTGATGACAGTCACGGTCTGGTTGCTGAGCCTGATGTGGTACTCCCTTGGTTTCTGCTGCAGGGTGCTGGGAAGGCGCCAGGTGATTTTTGGAGCTGGCTTCCCTGTTGCTGAGCAGCTCATCCCCACCACTTTCTCAGAGTCCTCAGCTTTGTCTGGACTGGGTATAAGCTTAGCCTCCACTATGGGGTCTGAGATGGCTGTAAAACACAAAGTGACAAAAGTGTTACTTTCTGTTCACATTTGAGCAAAGAGCATCTGTATTTACCATTATCTTGGAGGACAACCTTGATATCTAATCTTGCCTCCCCCTCCCCAAAGCTCCAGCAGTGACAAATAAACATGAAAGTGATCAGGCAGCAGTCTGGAAATGAAGAGCTTGGCAAAAACAAAGGACAAGAGGGTAGAAGAATCCATGTTTCAATTCTGTTATTAATGGCAGCACTGCAGCATCCCAACCAAGAAGTAGTGATTAGGGAGGAGTAAAGAGCAACAGGTAGTGAAACCATGAAACCACACGTCCTCCTCTCTCTGAAAGGGCTGAACTGCTTCAATGAATCAAAATTCTTGTTCTTTTTGCTTAAATGTGTCTACAGGATTAGCTTTATTGCTGTGTGAGATGTGCAAGCTTGTGGACCAAAGGACTAAACGCATCTATTTATGCAAGACAGTAATAGTGAATTTGTATATAGTGACACCATACGATTTCACCTGTGGAGGTTTTGTGCTTGTACAACTTTCTTCCCTCCAGTGTCAGGTCTTGGGGGCATCATGGTATCCCTCAAAACCTTCACTGAAGATCATTTCTTCTGAACTCCTTGTCACCCTAGAAGATCTGCAGATGCTGTCACATTTAGTCTTAGTCAGCAAGAAGGATGAACTGCGGGCATCATTTATGCTTCCTCACTCACATGAAGCCTGCTTGTTGATTCCTGCTTTTACGAACTGTATTTGCAAGGAATAAAGAAAAGGGAGGAGTGCAGGAAGCTGTTTTCAACCTGGGTAGAACTGCAGGGGAGATCTGAACACATGAGGACATGTCTATCCCCTGTGGAAAATAACCTATTTATTCCTCAGCCATAAAATCATACCATAATTTAGGTCAGAAAGGACCTCTGGCGGTCATCTAGTCCAAGCTCCTGCTCAAAGCTGGTCTAATTAGCTCAGTTTGCTCAGGCCAAGATCTATAAAGGCACGTAGCTCCATTTGGGAGCGCAATCCACAGGTTTCCATATGGCAGCTCACCAGCCTACCTTTTACTTCATCGCACGTGCTGATGGCACAGGGGTCCAAACCACATTCTACTTCTAGGTCCCTGTTTCTGAGAATATTACTTTTTTTAACCATTTAAGTGCAGTGGCAATTCTAGTTTCATTCAAGTCTGAGTTAATATGAATGCACTCTGATTAAAAAAGTGTCTATTCCTATATTTAGTAGTACTCCTAGTGTATATTAGTATTTACATAGCAAAAATAACAATGGTCAGCACAATATTTGTGCTGAAATCAATTTTTGTCCCAACACTAGCAAACATATCACTATCACTTAGTGATCCTATTTTTAAACAAAAAAAAAAAATCTGTTTATTGTTCTTTTAGGAAAAAATTATTCTTTTTCTTTTTGGGAGGTAAATGAAGATTTGCACGTGGATGAGGTGTAGAAGACATGGAATAATCCTGTGACAGGGGGAAAAGGCTTGTGCCAGATGCATAATGGCACCTATAACCGGGTGGTACAATTCCAGACGCACCTCACGAGGTTGTCTGGATCCTCCAAGCCATAACTGCCAGAGGGTGGAAGCAAGACATTGTATACCATCAGTTTTGCTTTTTTTTTTTTTTTATGGCTAAACCTCATTTATTTACTATGGTTGTGCCTGCCTAGAAAAAATAGTGGGTATTTCTCATTTTTTACATCACCTAGAGACAGAAACTTAAACCCCGCAGAGTTGGTGAAACTCACTAGTGTTGCTCTGAGAGCAACAGGAAAAGTGTGTAGGGGGATTTCAGCTGGAACTTCTCAAAATCTCCCATGTATGAAAAGACAAGTGTCACACACAGTTTATGTTTTGATTAATAAATGATCTCTGAACTTCTTCTTTCACTCACGGGATGCATAAAAATAACATATCCACCCACAGCATTAACTTCAAATATTAGGTTGCGACATCCAAAAGCAGTAAAGGAAAGCTGTCACATATGTTTCCAGAGGGGATGAGAAAAATTGCTCAGTATCTTGTCAGAAACACATGCACTCCACATCTGCTCTTCTTGTGACTAAACAGTCCTCTCTCTTCCTACATTGGACCCCAAGGAGTGATTATCATACCAAAAAAATCCTGTAGGGTTGAACTTCCCCTTAGCAAGTGTCTGTAATAGATGCACAGTCAAAACCTGTAAGTGCCTGCACTTGCAGTGAAGTCCTGCTGTTTGTTAGCATATTCTCACTGTTGATGCTTGATGCATGCACTTAAATTAACTGCTTCTTTTGCCTTTCACAGGAGATGTTGTGTGTGAGTACTTGCTTTAGTAGTTCTTGCAGAGCAGTAATGCAAACATTCCCAAATTCGAGCTGTGTTCCCAAGTATTTGAAAAAGGGACTTTCTAGTGAAGTACATCAGCTTTGATTATCTGTAATGGCCTTCTGTAATTAAAGGGGGACTGTCAGGTCGTGATGTGCTTTTTATGTTTAAAGGCTTGACAGTGGTATCAGAGATACGGATAAAAAATTTTAGGAATTACAGTATGCCCCGTGATGACAGAAAGCTTTTTCCAACCATATGGGTGTTCACCAGCAACACCGTGCCTCAGTTTCCCTGTCTAAGAAACAGAGGTGTCGTTCCTCTGCTGTGCTTGAGACTTCCAGGCGAATGGTGCCATCTACAATGAAGGCAGAAGGTCTTTGAAGGTGGCCCAGCAAATGCCTGGGGAATTTTGTGACCCAGCAAGTCCCATCCATTCTCGTGCAGCACATCCCCCTCTCTCCGTACCTGCTCACTCGATCCCCTTCCTGGGTTTCACTCTCATCTTCTTTGGCAATGAAGAGAACATTTCCAAAGCAAAATGGAGGGGAAAAGGGAGGAGGCTGTTCAAAAGAGACCCGCCAAACACACTTGAAACTATTCTGTTCCAAAATGGGCTTTGCTACAGGGTAGGAAATTTCTGCTTCTTCTTGGGTTTGCTGTTTTCAGCCAGGCAGGTCTGAGATTCCTCCAGTCATACCTGTTTCTTTTTTCACAGTGTTGTATCCAGTTTGTACGTGGTTTCACTTCCCCTTGTCACGCAGTAACGGTGCCTGTCCTGGAACAGCCCCTCTTGCGAAGGCTGTTTTCATCAGGCAATTACCAGCTTGTAAACTCCCTGGCAGTCCCCTCTTGAGGGCAAAGACATGACACTGTTTCATTTTCAGCTGGTGACTCTGACTTGCTCACCTTGCCCTGAATTCCTGAGCCTTGGGAGAATCTTGCTGGCTTCACGCTCCATCACGTGGAGTCCTCTGGGCTTGTCCAGACAAGTTGTTCCCATCGTTGTGAGTTGGGGAATAAGGGAGTAAGACTGTGGCTTTTAAGTAGCATTGCATAAATTATCTTCAATGAAATATACCATATGTGACCCGAAATCTTCTGTCACAGTGCTGAACACTTAGTTTATTCATGGTGACGCTCCAGGACATGTTTGATAAAGCACATTTCAGGGAGGCCACCATGAGCCTGCGCTGGCGCAGCGGGAGCAGCGGGCTCATGCCTGCCCACGGGAGAAGTGAAACCTTTCTCGGTTATGTGTTTTTGTCTGAGATGCAAGAAGAGATGCTTGTGGGAGTGTGTGTAGCAGCAGAAAAACACTTTTTTTTAAAGCAGTGCCCTGATAAAGGATGAATCATAACCACAAGGCTGATGATTTTGGGAAATATTTCCCCCACTTGGATAAAAAAAATCCAAACAAAACAATGAAACAAAACAAATCTAACTCCGTGTTTAGATTTACAGGATAAACAAGAATGGGATCCCTCTGCAAGGCACTTCCATATTTTCCTGTAATCTATAATCAGTGTTTACCCTCTGAATGACTCAGGGCTGGGTGTCTTCAGGAACACCTTCCTCTTCATATCCGAAACACTGAGGGAATTTCTCCTAATTTCTCTTTTCTGCTCTAGGAGCTTTCCCAAGAGAGAGGAAAAAGAACTTTTGTTCCAGGCTTGGTTTTCCCTCCTATTTCCCCTGCCGCTCCTTTCCCCTATTGCTTAAGGCATCTTTCCCCTATAAGCCAGGGCCATCGTTTTTTCCACGCAGAGGACTCCTGGCATGCAGGTGGCCATGTGTGTCTGTGTCTTTGTCAGCAGAAGGTACTAGGGATAAACAAAATACTCTGCAGGGGTTATACCACCAGCGGCAGGTCCCAAACACTGATATATTCCACATGGGACATGATTTTTGGCCAACGTCCCCACAGCAGCATCACCAATGAGAAAGTCAGGAGCCAACAGAGTGTCCTCAGGGCATGTTAATGTCTCAGCTTTCTCACTGGCAGAAAATCAAGACTGTCCCTCAAAAGATAAACAGCTTTTCACTCTTGTTCCTTTTGAGTTCATCTATTTGTCTAGATTTCAGCTTGTACTTGCTAGCTGATGATTTGATATGGAGGTGTTAAGTGTTGCCACCTGGACTCATGATTTGTTTCAACTCTCTTCTTGAAGCTAATTGATGCTGACCTGCACACGATATTCATGTGGCAAAGCCCACGAGCCGCGCTGTATTTCAGCCTTTTTTTTTTGCAACCCTTTCCTGAGCCCAGCCTAACTACTGTTATTTTTACTATAGCTTCAAAATCAGCTTCCAGATAACTCTCGTCATGTATATTCTTCTCTGCTTTTTGAATATTTTGAATTTTTAAGACTGGAGGTAGAGTAAGAAAAAAGTGCCTGATTTCCAGGCTTTGGAGGTGAAAGCAGCAGTGAAAGGAAGCAGAGGAGTGTGGGGTTCACAGCTGTGGCAGGCCAGCTGTCAGCACAGCACACTGCCAGGAAATCTTGGAGTAAGTCATGGGTTACACGTCAGCTTTTAGATCTCGCTGTTGTTGACTTAAAGGGAAAGAAAATTAAAGAACTGTTGAACACTGATTTCCCATCAGAAGTAAAACCAGAGAGGGAGGGAGAGGCAGGGAGGGAGATCCAGGGAGGAAGCTGAGCCACGTTTCCCGCAGAAATTTAGCAATGACCAGTGGTCAGGGGCGGTTTTTCTGAGGGGAAACAACTTGGTCCTCAGATGACAGCCCATACACGATTATGATGCCTTACCGTAAACCTTGAGACACATCCTGCCAGTGACAGCCCCCGAGGGGAACGTATTGAAAATGCACTTGTAGCATCCTTCATCTTGGAGGGTGACTCCACGAAGGGAGATGGCTGAGGCTTGTAACTCACTGTGGGCAAAGCTCACGTGGCCGACGTAACCCTTTGCTATCGTTTGGCCGTTCATTGTACTGTAAGTCGCTATGTTGTCTTCGGCCCCGTCCGTCTCCTTCTGCCAGGTCACCTGTAGCACATCTTCTTTTGTGACCGACCGGCATGAAAAAGTAACGTTTCCTCCTGCCTGGACTGCCTGGACCTTTCTGTGCATCACCTGCACGGAGCCTGGGGGAGAAGCAGGTGCTGCACTCAGCACTTCTCACCACTTTTCTGCAACCCATCCCCAGCAGAAACCCCCCAGCCCCTTGCCCCTGTGCAGAGCAGCTCTGGAGGGTCTTTCTGCCCCTCCATCCAGGAAAAAAAAAGAAAATGCAGCTCAACAGAATTGCCCTGAGAGTTTCGCTGGACCTGACACCTCTCACACAAAGCATTTCGCCAGCCTGATACCTATGCTGTAGAGAACACCACTGAGAAAGGCAGCTCCAGTGTCAGGAGAGACTGATTTCTGTCTGCTAAGACTGTTATCCCACGGGCACCTGTAGAGAGGTTCCCTAAACACTCAGCCGTGCTAATGCCCAGAGGGCCGCTGGTGCGTTACTGCTCTCTGAGCCCTCCTGCGGTGCAGTGAGAAGCAAATCAGTAAAGCTGCTAAAAATTCTTACATGCATTGCTATACATTGTGCATCCACATTTGTCAGAGACTGACAAGAGAACAGAAAACCAGAAGGAAAAAGCAAGGTAGGGAGGACCAGAGGCAAACTGCATCTGTCCTCCCATCTCAGGCTTGAGGCCGTGCAGCTGGGAAGCAGCTGAGACCCTGCTGAAGGGCCACAGATGGAAGACTTTCATAGCATAAATGCCATGGTACTAAAGGTCTCCAGGGAAAAGAAAAAAATCGGTCTCCTCTTCCAATTCACAGACACATGGAAATACTATTAAAGGGACAGGCAATCAAAATGGATGCTCCCAGGCTTGACAGCTCAGCTCCACAGTGCTCTTAGGATAACAGTTTTTAAAGTTTATTTGTGTACATCAGCATGTGAAGGGAGGTATCAGCAGGGACAGTTACAGCGCTGAAAACCTACAACTCGATTTACAAGAAAGGGGAATATCTTTGCAGGTTTTAAAGAGGAGTGAGGCTGTCTGCAGCGCCCAGAGGTACACTTGTCTAACCCAGCCGACAAAGCTCGCTCAGGTCCTGCCCGCTCCGTGGCTGTGGCCATGGCCAGGCAGATCTCCCCAGGAGATCAAGAAGCCAGCTGTGAAGCTGTGCCAGTCATTTTGCTTTTCAGAACTCAGTAGTGCCATAGGCAGAATACAAACCATCACCATGGAAGCTAGTTTGAAACAAATTCAGGCTTTTCTACATTATTTTACATGATTTTTAATTACAAAAACATATGTAACACACCCACACTTTTAGTGGCCTGAGCAGACACCTACAAGCACCATGTCCGTCACTACATAATTCTGTCCTGGCTAAAGCAAATCAGTGCCATACTCTGACCCAAATCCCAGCCACAACAGGAGATGAAATCAAACTTTAGTCATATGGGTCATTGGGAGTGTTTGAGCATTTGCCTGGTTTATGATTTGCAAATTGCAATAAGTTCATACATCTATCTGCAGCTTATAAATGAGTGCATTTATGGTAAATCAAGGAGAGGATGATGTCAACGCAGCCAGCAGTGACATGTCTGAAGCCTCACGCGAGCGGTGCAGTCGCATGCAGTGCCACGAGTGCCCTGTCACCGCTGGGCTCACCCCGGGGGATACGAGGGGGGGGGACTGCAACACCCAGCAGCACAGCAGCAGTCTAGCAGGGCCACCGAGGTCCCTAACGCCCTTACAGTAACAATACAGACAGACAGACAGACAGACAAGGGAGTTACCTGACACAACGGTCCAGATGCTGGAGAGGAGCAGGCAAGCGACCATCATCTTAGCTGTGCCCTCAGCGAGACCAGTGAGCGACTGATCCATTGAGCGCAGCTTCCCCTTTTTTATACACTTCACTCTTACTCTAGGGACATTCCCCTGTCCTCACACATACGGTAAGAGGCATCTTGTAAAAACCTCCTGCCCCTTGGCACTCAGCTGAATAACAAACATTTTGGGGGACATGACAACAAATGTCAGAGCCAGAAACTGAAGTTTTCCCAGCTAGGCTGCTAGACAGGGTAACGGGGTTACAAATCTGGGTTTTTCACAAATGCCTTTTCCATAAGGTTAGGTTTTTGCAAGTGCCTAAATAAAAGCCCAGATTTCTAAGCTGGCTAAGCACCTGATGCCTGTCAACCTGCGAGAGGCAGGAGGAAAGGCAACCCTGGCCCTCACCTGAGCTCAGGGAAGGGAGCTCAGGTCAATAGTTGTGCTGCAATGAGTAGTACAAATGTCTCCAACATGTAACTCAGAGGACCCAGTTAGGGGTCTGCACGCCATGTGTAAATCAGCGGAGACCCAGGACCTGCTGATGCTGCTGTAATGCAACTCTTTTTCCAGGTAAGGAGACCAGAGCAAGCCAAGCGCCCAACCCAAGGCCTAGGTCATACAGTGCCTCGGGGAAAAAGCAGAGCCTTGGTCTCCCCTCTCCTCCATTGGGGTTGCCCCCATCTCTGCAGGCCTGTGCTCCTTCCCAAGCCCTGTTCTTCGGAAAGACAGGGCTGCCGTCCCGCAAGCACACCCATTCCTCTCCGCCCTCACCTGAGATGACAGCTCACACACCTGTTTCGAGTTAACTGCTTTTGTGCTTTTTTGCTTTGTCATTTTTAGGCCTGTGTTTCTCTTTTTCTGCCAGCTGTGATCACGTTGCTGAAACCAACAAAACCCTCAGCCCATGGGTTGCTCACGCACCGCGTGGTGGGGCAACCAGCCAGAGAGACCTCATTTGCTAATCAAACTTGTACTGGTAATCTGTGTTTCATGTTGCTGCTTTCTGATTAGGTGGCTTACATTTTTGTGAATTCTTACTACTCCAAATGACTATGATTGCATTAAAAATGTTTTCTTTTAGTTCAGTTGCCGCACAGATTAACCTTGAATCATGCAAATAGGTTGGGGGAAGCCAATAGGCCCAAATCATAACACAACAAAAACATGCTTACACATACAAAGTTCCTTCTCTCCTCCCAAGTGGTAATTAGTTATATGAAAATAGAAACAGCTCAAGTATCAGTATTCCTCAAAAGAAACATTTTGGATGTGCTTTTGAATAGATTCCATAATTCATTCCCGTCACTCTGCAAACTGTGATTGCTTCATACTATTGTCTTTTTCCTTTGAGTTATCACATCTCATTTTCCTTTCCTTTCCTTATTTTCGTAGTTGCATTTTCCTGCAAGATTTTTGAAAGGGCATTCTGACCTGACTAAAATGTGAAATCAATGAAAAACAGTTCTTGTGGGGTTTGCCAGACCGTTTTACAGCTATTAAGCAACACAAATAGCTTCAACAGGCTCTGGATCAAATCAGAGGGAAAACTGCCAGCCTTGAAATGAAGATTCACAAGCAAACATTTAATTTCTGATTGTCAGCCTCTCAGAACTTCCAAAACTGAAAAGAACATTGAAGATTTGCTGAAACCACGTCCTTTTGCACCAAAGCCTCCTAGCTGCGTGCAAATGACCTATGCAAAGATTCAGTCCAGGCTTTGCTGGTGTCCTCACCTTAGCTCTGCTACAATTTTGAAACAAAAGATTAACAGAAGACCTTTCCATAAGCTTACAGACACTGTTAATGAAGTCTTCATAGCTGAACTTCACCACTTACTGATCACAAAAGGAACTGCACTCGATGTAAAAAAGAACAGCCAGCCCAGCTGATGTATTTTTCTGCTCATAGGAAATGTTCTTGTTGGCTTTAACCATTTTATTTTTTGCCAGAAACACTCTAATATTCCAAAAGTCCTTCCAAAAAACCCTGAGAACCTGAGTGCTGCTACAGCAAACACCTTTTAATAAAAAGCAAACCTACAGTCTTAGCAACATCCAAGCAAAGGATAGAGAGGGCTACTGCGGTTGGAAAAATGTGTTGACTTTAAATTGTTTACAGCATCCCCTACCTAGTGATAAAGAGCCACATATGCTGCCTGCTCCTTCCAGGCTCTGCTTCTTCCCTGTGGGAGCTCCTGACACCACAGGGAACCCGGGCATGCAGGGACCTCCCTCCCAGCCCAGGTGCATATGTGTCCTTATGTCCATCCGACTGCTGCAGCATCTCTTTCTGACCCCCCCTTCCTCCAGGGACCAGCCAACATCAGC